ATTATTATTATTATTATTAAATAGACACGAATAGTGGCAATAGTGGCAATAGTCACGAACAGTGGCAAATAGTCACGAATAGTGGCATTTAGTATTATATCACCCAACTAGTGGACTAATGCAAATCCTGCATTTTAATTGGCTACGCTACTAGAGGACTATTAGTAATAGTCCTCGAGTAGCGAAATTTGCGTAATAGTCACAAATAGTGGCAAATAGTCACGGTTAGCCTTCTGGAACTGACTGATGTATGCATAAATTAGGAGCTGCAACTCTAACAGACTTAAAACAGACATCATTGTTTTCGCACGCTCTTAATTCGCGGAGTCTACGGACATCTAATTCTTGACCTCCAAGCATTTACTACAAACAGATAGGTAAGCTTTTTATCCCAGCATACGTGAGCCTCTACCACGAGCGAAGAAACTGAAGAAAGATGCCAAACACATATAATCAAGAAATCAGTTTCTTTGTCAATGGAAGAAAGGTATGCAAATCTCAGCAGTGTTTATTTCTGGGTCAGTGTAACATATTTGTGAACTGCAGACTTTCAACCCTGCACAAACTTAATTTCAGTAGAACTCTCGTTTTCAGAGCGGCGATGGCGATCAGTTTCAACTTTTCAGTTCCTTCAGTTGTACTAATTGTTAAAAGCAAAGGGGGTTTTCAAGGTAAACAGGCATCATTTGCATAGCCGTTTGGAAGCCTTTGTTCAGAAAGATCAGTCTCTAAAAAGTTCGGTCTCTGTAATCTGCTTTTTCTCTCAATCTTTACCCTCAGTGCCTCAGTAAGATTGTGTCTTCAGAGTAAAACCGAAGACCATTGAGCTCCACTCTAAAAAGCTTCGCTGAGGCTAGCACCATTGAACAAATGTTCCTCCACGGTCAATGATTTTTTTCTCATTATACTAGTAAGTCACGCTCGAGTTATTGTCTCCGAATCGTTCAAGCTAAGGGGCCGCTACTACCTCCTTTTTGGAATAGTTAAACCAGGATCTGTGCTCAAGTTAGCTAAAGCTAAGCGAATTTTATGTACTCGTCAATCAACATGACCGGTTAAAAATAGAACTCCTTTGCACATTCTGACGTGCTGACTAACTACCCACATTATTTTTAGGTCATAGAGCAAAATGCACAGCCTGAGATGACTTTGCTTGAATATCTTCGAAATCATTGTATCCTCTGATTAATCTTTCATTGCGAAACGTTCTTTTAGTTTATCACGAAATTCTCTCTCCCAAGGCGATGCAAAATTGAGCTGTCAATTCTCCACTCGAGAATAAGTTACTAGTCTAATTGCGTGACGTCAACTATTTGAGCCCTCGTCCAAGCAAAAGTTTTATGATCATAGTATGATGATTACTTGATAATACATCTTGACAGTGATAAATTCACTGGGATTAGAGCGGTTTTCACTCGAGTGTCGAAACTAATTCGCATTTGCTTTGGTTTTGTATTGCTACGCTACGCAATTAGCTTAAAGTTTCCGACGCTTTGCCATCCAATCAGAAGTAAAACCAAAACCAATTGTGACTACAATAGCTCGCGCACGTTTTCCCGTGCTTTGCGTCAGCTACATGCATTTGCTTTGTTTTGATTTGCTCACTGGATTGTCTCTGTCGTTTGTGATTGACAAGAGTAATTACTTTGTTTCCATTTTACCTTACTCCGAATGAAAACCGCTCGAAAAGGGACATAAGTCATACTCGCCGTGCCCAAGTCAAGAACACAATATACATTTGATTAAATGTCACCTTAACAGTAATTCAGTGGCATTAACAGGCACCAAGCTTGGATGTAGTGAGGGAGGTTGTGGAGCATGTACTGTCATGATCTCCAAGTACGATCATGAAAATAAGAAGATCAAGTATCCTTTTCATCATTTTAAGCTTTAACAGTCGAAAACATTGAGCTGAATTTTTAATCCTTACTGACTAACTGAGCCCAAGGGTTGTCATTGCAACACTTGATTCGGATTTGTCCTATCATCATCGTCATTTACATAAACTAATTAACTATTTAAAATATTGTGATTTGTCTGTGGCGAGCGGATCAATTATTTGCCGATCTCGAAGACTAAGACAAAAAAAATCTGCGAGACTGATTAATCGACACTGAGTTTATGCAGTATAACGTTTGACATAAGTCCAGAAGCATGAAGTGCAAGGGAATATTTCAGTGGTACGGTAAAGATACGCAATTGCGATTTGCAAATACCTGAGAACAATATGGGTAGTAGCACAAATTTTCTTTCCTCACTGAGCCAAGTAAAAAGTAGTCGTACTCGGGTTTCGCTGAGAGCAAAACTGCACGATTCAACACAAGTAAAACAGCAAGGATTTCAACTTTAACACTGGTCAGACATTTTGCTGCAAATGGTTGTTTGCTGCCATTGTGTGCAGTTGATGGCATGGCTGTTACTACAGTGGAAGGTATCGGAAGCACCAAGACTGCCTTGCATCCGGTGCAGGTAAACACAGCCGGTATAGGGTCAGAATCTCTCGCTTCCGTTCCCTATTCACCCGCTACCGGTATGACTGAAAAGCCATTAGCAGGGATTCAGCGGCTTCTGTGAAAGGCCTGTTGAGACTCCAGGTGTTTCAACGTGATAGAAGGCGTGTATTCATGCTTTCTCCTCTCTCGCTGAAACACCATGAGCTTCAACCAAGCAATGCCAGTGTTTTACTACCTACTACGCTTTTACGATTTTATGGGACAACCTTTATCAAAATTAAATCGCTGAATACACTATCTTGCACGATGAAAATCTCTTACTTGAGATTGGTTAAAGGTGCTTTCTACTTTTATCTCTCAGCTCAGCAAACGGTAAATTTAAGCTAACTGGGCATGTTGGTCTTGGACTTTTCGTTAAACGCTAACGCAGAGCTAGATCGACTATTTGGTGTAGTGACGTAAAGTATGATTTAAACATTGATGGAATTTTACATCATTTTTGTGGTCTGAGTTGAATTTGGAAACCTCTAAAGCAGCTTTGTAATTATTTTTTTCTATATTTAAGGAGCGGATTGTTCAATTTCATGGATCCCAGTGTGGATTTTGCACTCCAGGAATTGTTATGTCCATGTATGCTCTGCTGAGGAACAACCCTTTACCGACACACAAAGAAATGGAAAGTGCCTTTGAAGGTAGTATAAGAAAGGTTTTAACACATCGATCGTTTAAAGGTATTCCCTGATGTATTCATAGCGTCTTCCCATTGTTATAAGACATGCAGATGAACAGGCCATGAGAACGCAGGACGGAAAATCTCAGTTAGCATTGAAACGCGTTCTGGGAAATTATAGAAGTGAATTAAAACATGAAGCAAACGGTTTAGCGTAAGTGAACACTTGTCTGTCGTCTTGTGTTTAATTTTTCCTCGGGCGAGAGACGTAGAGGAGATTGGGCCCGACAATTTGACAAAGACTAGGTAACACAAAACACTGTTGTGATGATTGTGGACACTTTTAAATAAATGTTACGTGGCGTGGTTGACCTTTATGCGCGAAATTCAAACCCTTGTAGCTACCAGAGACATGGAAAGAATTGAACGCTCGGAGAGAGAGGTCTGAGTTTTAGCTTGAAATGGTTGTGAAAATTGACTTTGTTCTTATTTATTTATTTATTTATTTGGCCATTACTTTGTTCTTATTTATTTATTTGGCCATTACTTTGTTCTTATTTATTTAACTGGCCATTACTTTGTTCTTATTTATTTTCTTGGTCATTACTTTGTAATTTCAGGTAATTTATGTCGATGTACCGGATACAGACCAATAATAGAAGGATTTAAAACCTTCACAAAGGTCAG